CACCTGCAATACCACTCATTCGGTCTAATTACGAAAGGTCCAACAAAGTCCTTTAAATCGCAAAGCTTACCTGTTCTATTGAATTAAGCTTATTTTCTTTGCCGATGACATGTAATTGTGACAATACGTAATCACGTGCCTGCAAGGAACAATTTTATGGCTGATTGACAGATCTCCCATTACATTCATTGTTCGCAATGCGCCTCGAGAGGATGAAGGGGCAATATGTACAGGGGGAGGCAATAAAAAGAAACATTTTGTCTCCAGACTCAAATGGATTTAATCACACTTTGCTCAGCTCTCACTCCAGACTCCATGAAATGAAATGCGCTCTTCAATTCGAAGTTGAGGGCACACCCTCAACTTCGAATTGAAGAGCGCATTTCATGGAGTCTGGAGTGAGAGCTGAGCAAAGTGTGATTAAATCCATTTGAGTCTGGAGACAAAATGTTTCTTTTTATTGCCTCCCCCTGTACATATTGCCCCTTCATCCTCTCGAGGCGCATTGCGAACAATGAATGTAATGGGAGATCTGTCAATCAGCCATAAAATTGTTCCTTGCAGGCACGTGATTACGTATTGTCACAATTACATGTCATCGGCAAAGAAAATAAGCTTAATTCAATAGAACAGGTAAGCTTTGCGATTTAAAGGACTTTGTTGGACCTTTCGTATTTGGACCTAATGAGTGGTATTGCAGGTGAAGCGGATATACCTCGAGGTGGAACCGTTCAGTGTCGAAAACGGTCTGCTGACTCCTACGCTCAAAGCGAAGCGTCCACAATTACGGTTAAAATACAAGGATATTATTGATAGGATATATCATGAGGATAAAGATCTTTAATGGACTTTATATACTGGCATTTTGCTAATAAAAATTTCCAAATAATTATGAAAAATTGATTTTTATTTACGGTGAGCCTTATTTACTCTCCCTCAGTATCAGTATGCGCAGCTGATCCCATGGGATGACTACGGCAAATGTAGCAGTGCCCATGGACGTATATATCCCACCTTGGGTAGACAGGGTTGTGCCATAGGACGCGCCATTGAACGCGTGATGTAGCTACCTTATTCTGTTGCGGCACTCTTTTCTGTGAAGGGGCGCTGCTGAGATCAGAGGCGAAGGACGCGTCCCTATAGGAGTACGCCCCATAATAGGTGGCCTGTCACAGCAACAAGTGCAATCATGCAGCGCTATTTCGCCGCGCGCGATAAAACTTTTCATCATTTGTCAAGTCACGCGCGATGAGCGGCTTGTTCGGTGGGGGACGTGACTACTTGGACTTTCTTTCATTCTCCTCTGTCGGCGTTAATGTCAAAAAGCAGTGGCAGTTGACTGGTACAAACTGTTAAACGAAATTGCCGTTGTAGCTTTATCACATCGAGAATTGCCTGCGCCACTATTCCTGTGAGTGGAAAGGTATTATAAATGATGTGGTTTCGCACACGTTAATTACCACAGCTCCTCCGGTGTGGTTCACGTGGAGGAGCCACTTTGCTACACCACAAGTAGTTGAGTTGAACAAATAGACAGCCGGCCTAAGATACAATGTTCACACGCAAATCGGCCGTCTATAAGGCGTTGTCACCAGATCGGCGGGTCTCCTTTCCGTTTTTCTTTTTGAGAGCTTTGAAAAATGGCTATTGTTGTTCTTGAATGACGTGGAAAAGCTGTGTCAGTTACCGTGCATTGCAGAAAACGTTTCCAAACAACTCCACATGATACTCGTCACTCAGGTTAACAAGCTGACCGACTACTTTTTTCTCGAGCTGCCGGAATCGGCAACTGTTTTTCTAAAAGAGTTTTAGGCTACAAATGGTATTGCCATGTTGTGCAAGACACTCTAGACGTCCTTCGATGATATGAGGCTGATTAAAGGAGGCTGAGACAGTGGCAAGGGTGAGGAAAGGGCATTCAAGCGGCGGCAACGGTGGGACGTCAGAAGCGACGTTCTGGAAAACATGCTGGAGGACGCGTCACCCAGTAACCGGCTCCATCAGACCTCGGGTCCGAAGAGGCCTGCAATAGATACTTCTCGTCTCGCCAACTGTATTCTGCTGTGTTCCGCCCATAAATGTATTATTCCTTGATCTTTACTGGGTGCGCACTCGAGGGGGGGGGAGGTTGTGGAAAACCCCGTTCATTACACTACATCGTTCCACTGATTGCGTTTCCTGGTTTCCCCACATCAGTGCAGGCAAGGCCATAGCGCCCTCGCCCCTTTCAAAAAACGAGAAGAGCGTCGGGTGCAGACCAACACCACAAGTGACGACGGCCTCCAAGTAAATCTGGTTAGTAGTTGTTCATAGTGATAGCTGATTTCTGGTAAATGATAGTTGTAATTAGTGACAATCGATAGAATACAACTGCAACAGGCTAATCATTTCATTGGCAGAGAGCACATTTTGTGAAGTCGTCGTCATTTGTGGTGTATGATCTGCACCCAACGCTCTTCTCGGTTTTTGAAAGAAAGGTTACATGCTTTCAGACAAGCACGGGTCAACAAAACAGCCATAATCGCTGGGAAATACCACGGCAGAAATGCTGGAGATCACTGAGCTAGCATGGCACGTTTATTCCCATGTGAGAGCTATACAAAAATGACAACGCATCAAAAAAAAGTACGCTACTCAAGCGAATGTTCATTATGACAAGATACCAAATAAAGCAAATCTACCCTAGTAATAAAAGTGCAATATAGAATGTTTCTCAATGATATGGACATCTAGAATATAGTGAGAACTACAAGAAAGAGCAAGCGAACTCCATAACCAGTAACAATAATCATGCTATAGAACGTTAACGAGAACTTAATCTCGAACAAAACGCAATGGAAACAATTTCCCATTGACTTAACTGTACCCATGGAGATTAAAATTAAAGAGCGAAGCTGCGGTACAGAAATCACTGGGAAACTGAAAAATAAATGTCGATACGCCATCTTGAAGTCAATCCATGACAGCACTAGGGAATCACAAGATCTCCACGTCTAGAAATCGAGCATTTCGACGCCGACGACCACGAGAGCGTATACGACGGATCATTGCCCACTTCTTGAGGCTACGGTACTTGTCCAGTACTTCTCGCCGATCCAGGCTTTTCTCGTCAGTTCTTAAACAGATTAATCGCATTCTACTTTCTTCAGGGGGGGGGGGGCTATTGGCTATTGAAAGCTTTCGAAAAACTCAACGAATGAAATAAAGGATGAGGCAGAGAGCATTCAGCGCATCACTTTACCTTGGGAGGAACCATGCACTCTACTTACGTTGAAACTCGCAGTGGTATGCAAACACAGTTTGGTCTATACAATAACTAGCGAAGAACAGCTAATTTGCTGAGCAGTTGCAAGTTCCCAAGATAATGGTCCCAATTAACAAGTTGAGGACAGCGCAGGTTTAGAGTTTTTAGCGCTCATGTCCTTTGTCCTCACATTCGAGACAGGGCACCTAAAAACCGCTGGTAAGTGACATAAGGACTAAGCCCAACAGTGGGGAGAAACGCCAGAAAGAACTAAGTTTCACGTCTTCCACCAGCATCCCTTCATTCCTAAGGTACCGTGCCAAGTTCTATAGGTGGCTCACTCACTTCAATGCCCCTTCCCCAAACCACATGACCACCAAGTTTTTTTCCACATGCATGGATTCCGAGCTATAAATACGCAATACTTGGATGTGTTTCCAACAACATTCGAAGTGTTCAGGGTCATGAAGCTTAAAAAAACATATATTTTGTACGCAAATCTGTATTTACATCTATACCTTTTACATAAGTGTTCATGAGAATTGTCAAGAAAACTAGGACTGAACCTGAAAACTAGTAGGACTATAGTAAAAAAAAACTAGTAGAAGTTGCAGAACTTTGCTGAATGGAGGCATATTTAACCATTCGACGAACCCCCTCGTTTATAGTCATTTCATGGTGTGGTCTACAGGATAAACCCAAAAATCAGAGGAAGGGGTACTGTATGCGCGAAAACAAATGATTTGGCTGCGAAACGCATGCGCCTCGCGCGGTCCCCACGGTGCTCGAAGAGCGAACCGCATGCGCCTCGCGCTGTCGTCAGCGTGTCAACAAGTTCTGGATGGACGAGAGGTTTTGTTGAGATAGCCAAGAGCAGACCAAGGATTTGACCCGGGCGAGGGCGCGGGCAATGCCACTTTCAGGTACACTATCTCTGCACTCAAAAACTCCACACATATTCCCAATTATATCAACACCACTCACTTTTCCCATCCTCGTTCCTTCCAATATTCGTTGTCATTAGGGAACATTGATGTAGGATCGAAGAAGTCATCCGTAGAATAGAATTCAGCGCAACACAATGACGTCATTTTGGCCAGCAGTGCCTGCATTTTTCCGATGAGATCGGTCACACGCGAGCCTCTTATATCATGCCAAAACAGCTCTTCAACCTGAAGAAAACTTGATCGCTAGATTTCATTTTGAATTTTAGACTTGATAACCATCAAAAACCAACTTAATTAACATAACATTTTAAACCATTCCGACCTAAATGGTCAGATCTAATAAAAAAAATCACTGGTCTTGCTTTTTAGTGAGACCTTGGTTGTTCACCTTTGATAAATCCAAACTCATTAGCATATCCAATAAAGCATCCGTTATTACCAATCCTTTGATTATTAGAAATGTGCAAATCTGTCCAGGGCTGAAATTAATTTTAGACAATGCATACCAGTGGTATTAGAAAACAGAGGAAAATCACGCGGCCAAGCACAAACCACTATTTTATAGGAGAAAGGATTCTAAGCAAGTTGATATTTAGCTCTCTTCAAAATTCTACCATTCACCTCTTAGCTATGATACTTTTGACCACAACCTTGAGCAAATGTATGTTTCAGAGTAAGTTAATACATGCAATAATAAAATTTTGCTGACGTCTATTCCAACAAAGTAAGCGAAAATCGAGGTAAAGTGTACAAGTAATCGATACAGTCTGGTCCGCTGACTCCAATGAAAAATGAATAAAATACCAATGAAAACAGATAAGTAAAACTCACAAAATGGCAGAAGGCACCTCATTGATCACAACACACTTGGTAAAATATCTTTTCCCACTTTCTCCATATATGTAAGCAACAACATAGCCGCCGTAATTTCGATCGCGTTCTACCGGTGCCTACAAGCCACTTTCACTGCACATAATAGTTCTTGCTCATTATAATAGCTCCAAAACCAGTCGAGGAGCAATTACCTGTAGTCGAAGCCCAATCGATGGCTTGGGCAAGTATTGGTGAAATTCATTGATCACGTTTCTGAACCTTTTGCAAACACATCGCAACCGATACAGCTTCTAAACAGAACGGAAAGATCGATGTAGATGTACAGTTGAAAAATTTAAACAGCGAAGAACTTGCTTTAACTGCAATGATTCGACGAGCTCCAAAGGGATAGTTCGATTGTGACGCTTGGGTAGTGTATTGGGAAGGACTGGAAACGTAGTCAAAAATCTTCAACAGAACGTCGTCCGGAAGATCAACGAAGTTAATGGTCTGAAAACTGCTTTCAAAAACCGCTTCACTTGATTTGGCCTCGTAGTGAATGTAAGACTTCAAGATAGCGACCACGTAACCTCACTTGACCGTTTCTTTATACAAAACTTGTCCGCGAAGAAAACACACACCTGAAGGAAATCATCTGAAGGAGATCTATACCTGTTTCTTTTCTGCGGTTTCCGCTGCTTTCTGGTTCTGCTTGCCACTTTGCTTCTTGTTTTTGTTTTTTCTTGGAAAAGCTTCGAGATCAACTCTGCTTGTTCAAATGTTGCACGAGGATTGTATACCCGCATTCTTCTAAATCTCTGAGACCAATGGCCTAAAACGAATGCACGATGGATAATGGTAGTAAAGTGCATTATGGGAGCTTGGATGGTTTATGCAGAATGAATCTCAAACATGCGAATTGGTTATCACTTCGCAATCAGAAACAAGCATTATAATAGCTCAAAGAGCAAGAGCAGATATAAGCAAAAGACGCAGTCGACATTACTTATCCATCTTCGTCATTTTATTGCTTCTGCGTTCGAGGAAAAAAAAGAAAAGGCGGATTCTAGGAGTTTGAGGGTTCAACTACATTGCCAATTTTGCAACTCAACAAGATATTGAGTAAGGAGTACCCCTTATTGAAAACAGGAAAATGATGAGAAGCGCATAAGAAATGTGAGGCTTTCCAGCAAACACCACACTGCATAACGCTCCTCGCTCTCAGCGCGGGATGTAACTGTTAGCCCCTTATGCTCTTTCAATTCAATGACTGATTGATGTACTCGCCACAACAGCTCTCTTTCGAATCCCAGCTGTCTTTGTCACTTCACTACCCTCCGTAATCTGTTAATCTCTCTCTCGAAAACCCGTGTATAAATTCCTTCACTACCTATATAAACCTTAATTATACAAGATCACTTTCATCTTAACGTTTTCCATTCTTTAACGTCCCTTCCTATTTTCTAATGTTGTTTATACAGCTTCACAGAAGCGCTTTCCACAGAACCTACAACATATACATCTATAAGGATGGATCTATAGAAATATTCGCCCAAAAGTATGTAGTAAAGCTCACCGTCAGATCAGGACCCTATGACACTGTTCAAAAATAGAGAAAAGACCCCTGCCTAACGATGAACACTAGCTAACCACAAGAACACCTTACAGAAAAGGTTTCAAACCTCTCGACGTTAAGGTTGGACCTAATCAAAAGTATACAGTGTCATCAGCCTTTTAACACATGTGATAGCGAACAACACGAGGAAACTCACCGGAAATTGGCGTTTTAGTGAAGCGCCTTTTACCCATATTTTCGAAGGCAAAACAGGCAGGAGGAAGAGGCTGAAATCGAAAGGACTCGAAATTTTTAAATTCAAGAATAAATAAAAATCCACACCTAGCGCTTACCGGTTTTACTACAGAATTTTCAACACACGTTAGTGGGATACACAAATAAAAATGTTAACAAATGAGCATCTCAATTGGGGCGTGTGATAGAAAATCACCCACACACAAGTACACAAACACATTTCTAGGTAAACAGTACTATTGGACTTGAGATGAGAATGCAGTAGAAACTTTAAGGCACAAATATGCTACTAACGCAAGTACAGATAGAGCTGGAAATCTACTCACAAGAACCTCTCATTTCCCGATAGAGTTGCTTTACACATTCGGCCTTACTACTGCATCAATTAGCTCTTGTATAACAAGATGATTAAGAAGTTCCAATCATTAGTTTCAGAATAAATCGCTGTCCCCTTTGAGTCAGTGAGGTGTTTTACACAACATCTACTTTAAT